CAGGCCAAGACACAGCACACACATTAACAGCACTACTAAACCATTGTCTTAGGTGAGGTGACAGGCCAAGACACACAGCACACACATTAACAGCACTACTAAACCATTGTCTTAGGTGAGGTGACAGGCCAAGACACACAGCACACACATTAACAGCACTACTAAACCATTGTCTTAGGTGAGGTGACAGGCCAAGACACACAGCACACACATTAACAGCACTACTAAACCATTGTCTTAGGTGAGGTGACAGGCCAAGACACTTACACAGCGCACACATTAACAGCACTACTAAACCATTGTCTTAGGTGAGGTGACAGGCCAAGACACACAGCACACACATTAACAGCACTACTAAACCATTGTCTTAGGTGAGGTGACAGGCCAAGACACTTACACAGCACACACATTAACAGCACTACTAAACCATTGTCTTATAATATTTTACCTAATAATTCCTATTTTAAAATAATTGATACATGATGGCTCGATTTGGCTACTTTTGCACTTAGACAACTGATCAGTGAATAAACCAGGGTATATGGAGACACATTATATACTAGTGATGTCACAGAGGTTCGCCACTGCAGAGCAACCACATTAATTATCACAACACACAATAACCCACTCGGTTGTCAAACAATCACAAAAGAGGGTTGAGCTGAGAAATCCATTGGACAGTGGGGCCCTCCAACCACTGTGTTGCCTTTATGTACAGTCTCATTCAAGATTCTTCGAACTCTGCTGGAGACAGCTGGCAACTCAAGGCCATTTGTTTACTATAGTTAGTATAATATAATACGAAACAACAAAGCCCTACCATTAAACTAAGCAACGGGGAACTAAGTATCCAATCGCCCATCACCCATCACTTTTACATTTATTCATAAATTTTACTACGTACTATAGTAAACAAACGGCATTGAGTTGCCAGCTGTCTCCAGCAGCATTCAAAGAATCTTGAATGAGACTACAATATGCTACAATAACAGATACAATTAACAATGTTTTTAAATCTTTACAGTGATAAACCTTGAATAACTTGCTTAATTACAGGTGACTATTTACGACCTATGTCACACACGGTGTAAAAAAGTAGTACAGTTGTACCCCACTTAACGCGGTCAATAGAACCCAGAGGGTCCCGTGTTAAGTGAAATCCGCGTTAAGTGAACAATAGAACATATGGGATTAATTCCAATAGAAACCAGCCCGACCCCCAAACTCCACTTTTTGAAGACGCATAACTATGTTGTAGTAAAAATAACATCTTAATTTTATGATGGTACATGCACACAATTAATACTTAAGAGAAATAGAGAAATACAGTCGCCAAGTTAATGTCCATTCAAATAATGGACACGACTCCCTCCCCCTCTCACACTACACTGCCGGCTCTTCCCTCTGAGAAATTTTGGGGGGAAAACCAGGTATAGTAATAAATAATTCATCAAACTAAAGTTAGGATAATATAATTGACATTGCTGGATTCCTTGTAAGACCAGGAATATTTTGAATACAAATGTCATATATTTTTCACAAAAGATAACATATTTACTCAGAATAAACTTTACATCTAAAATTTGTATGTCTAATGCAAAATCTATGATGTTTATATTCAAAATGATCACCAAATTGTAAGAATTCCAGCAATGTAAATTATATTCTGGCCGGATAATTTGTATGAATTTTATGAGCTGAAACAAATATCTTCAGTTAATAAAAAAAAAAAAAATATTCTTCACGACACTATCTGTCAATCAAAGTACCCCACCTTGCCTCCCCCCCTCTTCCAACCGCGCGGTCAGTCCCAACCCTCCCCCCCACCCCCCACCACTCCTCCCTTCAAGAGTTTTTAACATTTAGTATTAAATAATACCTCAGATTAAAGTTAGGATAATATAATTGACATTGCTGGATTCCTTGTAAGACCAGGAATATTTTGAATATAAATGTCATATATTTTTCACAAAAGAAACATATTTACTCAGAATAAACTTCACATCTAAAATTTGTATGTCTAATGCAAAATCTATGATGTTTATATTCAAAATGATCACCAAATTATAAGAATTCCAGCAATGTAAATTATATTCTGACCAGCAAATATCTTCAGTTAATAATATTCTTATATTCTGTCTCACCAGATGTGTGGGAAAACCAGAATATTTACCTTTTAGTAATAAATAATACCTCAAACTAAAGTTAGGATAATATAATTGACATTGCTGGATTCCTTGTAAGACCAGGAATATTTTGAATATAAATGTCATATATTTTTCACACAAGATAACATATTTACTCAGAATAAACTTTACATCTAAAATTTGTATGTCTAATGCAAAATCTATGATGTTTATATTCAAAATGATCACCAAATTATAAGAATTCCAGCAATGTAAATTATATTCTGGCTGGGTAATTTGTATGAATTTTATGAGCTAAAACAGGCAGTCAGGCAGGGTGGCGGGTGGGGGGAATCTAAAAATAGCTCTCGAGCCGGACACTCACCGCTTATATGTGGAAAAAACCCGCGTTAAGTGAAAGTTCAGCTCTGGCGAGGCACCGCGTATATGGTAAAACGCGCTAAGTGAAACCGCGTTAGGCGGGGTAATACTGTAGTATTGGACAATCTGATGAGCAAAAACCTCTGTTTTCCCCCGTTTAAAAGCCACAATTTGGTGCAAAACATGACTGCACTTTAATGTACAACTTGCGCTCAAATATACGAAGTTAATTACTAAAAATTTTATGTCTAGTGCAAATTATGGAATGTTTCTAATCAAATTAATCACTATCTTGCAAGATTTCAAGCAATGCAAGTTATATTCTGCTTAGTCAAGTCAGTGACATATTATAAGAGAAAAACTTAAATTTAAATTCCCTGTCTTGTATAATCCTGAGTCCCTGACCTGCACCACCCCTCCCCCTCCACTGACAACTAATCTCCCCTCACTGGCTGTGAACACCCCACCTCCCACTCCTCCCAGCCAGCAGGGGAGGTGAGATGGCAGTAATCAATCATTTTACAGGATGAATTTGGTTTAGGCTTAAAGTTTTTCTCTTATAAAATGTCACAGACTTGACTTGGCAGAATATAACTTGCCTTGCTGAAATACTTGCAAGACAGCGATTAATTTTAGTATAAACGTCCCATAATTACTAGATATTTCTTTTTTAGTCCTTTAGCTTAGTATATTTGAGCACAAGTTGTACACTAAAATAGAATAATATGTTGCTCAAAATTATGGCTTTTTCATATGAAAAAGACATAGGAAGATTAGTTGAAAAGTTCACACAGGTTACAGCAATAACCAAAGTTTAAATTTAAACCAAACAACCGCAACCGTGCAGTTGTGACTGCAGTCCCGACAACCACAACTGCGGAGCTTTGAAATCTGACAACCGTGACATCACTATTATACACCACAATAATATTTATCAAGTTCTGAAAATTATGCTACAATATTATTTACTAAGTGCTCAAGGCAGACCGTGGTAAGCACCAACCCTCTTGATCAGTGACAACAATGGTGATTGAGAGATGGTGAGGAATGACAACATTATTAGGAAGAGAGATGTCAGCTGTTAACCTCTCTGTTAACAAGACACTGAGAATATACTACAGAGCAATATCACATCTGGGATTGAAGGTGGAATTTTGGGGGGAAATATAATTATTTTCGATGATGTTTTATTAAATTGGCACCAAATTCATATTCTATTCCTATAATTCATTAGTTGGTAATTTATGAGGAAACTACTACCACCAGGAGTTGTTTGATTTTGTTCAATTTACCACAGATGTTCTTAACATTATACAAACTACAGTATATATATATTTTTTCTATTATTTAATACCTGTACTGTATCCCTTCAACATTGTTACATAACATTTTAAAATACAGTATGGAGTAAGGAGGAGAGTGAGAGCCATAGTGGAATGAGGAAGGGGAGAGACCCTTGGGGGGAGAAACTGACAGGTCACCTCTCCCCCTGTCATTCCTGCTGTAACTCAATACAATACTATTTATTTGTAATTTATTGATTAGTAAAAATATGATACTCAAATAATTTGAGCTTATTCATACCTGTACCTTTGGCAACACTGGTGCCTGTTAGCACTCCTTTCCACTCCATCTCTAATCACCCACACCTTTCTGCTTTCTCGCTCCATATTTTAAAATGTTATGTAATGTAATGTTGAAGGGATACAACAGTGCTCATTTATACTTATACTTATCACAATCTCCCTCAAAAATACTTTAGTTTTCGTTTTTATTAAAGACATTTTCAGGTCATGAGACCCAGTAATCCCCCACCCAAGAAAGGGTGATCTGACATTCCATCAGAAGGTCAGTAATATGAGACCACGAATCCCCCACCCTACCGCCACCTGACAATGCATCATGTTAGGTCAGTTACATTAGACCCACTATTCCCCCACAACTCCACGGGAGTGGAAAATACCAGTCTTTGCTGTAACACACAGCTTCATTCACGCCCGTATCTTATAGACTTTTTTTTTAAATATATTTATTTAACTAAATTTTTTGATAAACTATTCTGGATTATTGTAGTAAAGAAATGGAGTTTCTAAAACTTAATTAAAACTGCATTTATGGACTCTGGTAATTAAGACTAAAGGAAAACATCCCCAGCACCCAGAAACATTCTGGGAAAGTGGGCTGGTGTCTGTCTGTCCAGAGATGTCTAGTTTAGACACTAAGAAACTTTTCCCAGTAACCAGAAAAGATTTCGGGGACAAGGAATTTTTCTGGGTTTGAGACAGTCGTCTGGTTACCCGGAAATCTCTCATCCTTGGAAGTTATCTGTACTAATTGTTCCAGCTAACGGGAATACCACCATTTTTGTCATGTCCGTCAAACAAAAATCCATTGGTCAAGACTCTGTTAAGAGGTATGATAGTATTCATCAATAATGAATTTGTGCAAGGTATGGAAATTACTATATGACTATTATTATAAAAAGTATTATACCTCATTCCACGGGCAGCATAACCAGCTGACACCATTTGCTTCTTGTAAGGTGATTTCTTGTTCTGCTGTTTCATAGGACTAGTGGAGCTTGTGTCTGATCCAGCATCACTAGTTGCACTCCAGGTCTTCATGTGCGATATTTGGGTGACAGTGGATTCACTATGTATGCTAGGAAGAGATTCTTCATCCCAGTTCTGAAAAATCATTGAGAATGATTAACAATCAACAAAGTCTGAAAGCTCAAATGTTTCTACAAGCTCGTCTACTACAGGTACTGTATTTCAAGGCAATAATTAATGAATGATTATTTGTAGGGAGAAGGTTAAAGTAATAGTATAAGTAGGAAAATTTTTTATGAATTATTGTAATAGAAGTGGAGGAGAGGGAGGCTGGTAGTGCTGTATCATCAAAAGGGTGTTTCCTTTAATTTTTTTTAGTCTTGTCACCTCCATAAGTAAAGAGGCCTAAAATGAGCAATTACACCCACACATTTTTTATTTATTTATTCTTATAGCTGTAAAGATAGATTTTGCTTAGGTACTCTGCAAAAAGGCACCAAACCTGGTTTACCTGCCACTTCATACAAGCTGGCCTCATTCACCAGCAGAATCTCACCCTCAAGATCACTTTATGCTACACACCCTGTTCACATATATTAACTGCTGCTTCCAGGAAGTCCAATCCCTTCATTCCAACAGCATCTACAACTCCACCCCCCATCTGATATGCAATTAAATTTTTTTTTTACCAATATTTCACTTCCTGTTCTCTCATTATGTCCATACAACCAGTCTGACACTTCCTTCACTTCCACATCTCCATTCTGTACATCTTATTATAAGGTTCTAGTCTACATAGGGGGTCAAGCTATATGCATTTTTGTGGGTCATATATGGTGAACAATAGCCACCTTGTGTAGTACAGTGGGGTATGCTATAACGAACGGATCCTACTTCGAATAGCTGTACAGTGGGGTATGCTATAACGAACGGATCCTACTACGAATATTCCTATAACAAACGGTTTTACCTATAAAATTGAGAATGCTATAACGAACGAAACTCCTGCAACGAACATTATTTAAATTTTTTTTCCCTAATTTATTGATTTTTATTACAAGTATTAATGACATTCTTTATTTCAGGGGTTTAGATGCATATGTATGCACTTTTTTACAATTTTTACAATTTTATATTATATTTTTCAGTGTTAAGTGGTTGTATTTGGGGGCCTTGAACGAACGAATCCTATAACGAACGAATGCTATAACGAACAAGGTTCTAGAACCAATTAGATTCGTTATAGCATACCCCACTGTATTCCTATAACGACGGTTTTACCTATAAAATTGAGAATGCTATAACGAACGCAACTCCTAAAACGAACGCGGATGAATACAGGACTATTTCGTCTGGCGTATGAATATTGTTGTACTGCGACTCACAAAAAGAGCATCAGGCGCCATCTTTGTCTCATTGTGTAGCCAGTGCACCACTGTTATTGTTGAAATTTCGTCTTTTGATGTGGAAATAGAGTTATTTGTATAAATATTTTGTTATACAAGTGTTCAATTGTAACAAAGAATCGTCCAAAGCGAGTGAGAAAGCTCATAACTCTTGAAACTAAGAAAGAAATCATAAAGAAACGTGAGAATGGAACAAGCATTGCAAAACTTAGTGATGAGTATGGGATGGCTAAATCGACTATATGTACGATTTTGAAGAATAAAGAGAAGTTGAAAACTGTGCAAATGGCTAAGGGAATCTCTAGACTTAGCAAAGCAAGGTGTAATGTGACTGAGGAGATGGAAAATTTACTCTTAGTGTGGATAATGGAGAAAGAAATGGCAGGTGATAGCATTAGTGAAGCTATAATTTGTGAGAAGGCCAGACAATTGTTTGAGGACCTTAAAGCCAAGACTCCCAGTGCAAGTGATAGTGATGTGCCAGTGTTTAGGGATACCAAGGGGTGGTTTACTGGTTTCAGAAGGAGAAATAAATTACATAGTGTTGTGAGACATGGTGATGCTGCTAGTGCAGATAAGGAAGCAGCTAAGGAACACCATGACATATTTTTTAATGTGATTAAAGAGGGAGGCTTTGTTTCTGAGCAGGTATTCAACTGTGATGAAACTGGACTTTTTTGGAAAAAAATGCCTCACCGTACATACATTACCAGGGAGGAAACTTCTGTCCCTGACCATAAGCCAATGAAAGACAGGCTTACCCTCCTTCTTTGTGCTAATGCTTCTGGTGACTGCAAAATAAAGCCACGCCTTGTGTATCATGCAGAAAACCCCAGAGCTTTCAAAAACATTAGGAAGACCCGCCTTGGTGTTATGTGACCAGTTTATTCTCTGAGTGGGTGATTGAGGTGTTTGGACCCAGTGTTCGGGAATACCTCAGGGAGAATAATCTTCCACTGAAAGCTTTGTTGGTGATGGACAATGCACCAGCCCACCCTCCTAATTTGATGGTTGAATTGTCAGAGGAGTTCAACTTCATCACTGTGCACTTCTTGCCACCCAACACAACACCTCTCATCCAGCCCATGGATCAACAGGTAATTTCTAACTTTAAGAAGCTGTACACAAAGGCACTGTTTAGAAAATGTTTTGCATCCATGTCTTCCAGTGATGTTAGTTTGAAGGAATTTTGGAATAATCACTTCAATATAGCAGACGCTGTGTTTTTAATTGCGTCAGCCAGGAAAGAGGTTACTATGAAGTGTCTTTGTGCTACTTGGAGGCCATTGTGGCCTGAATGTGTGCTTCAAAGAGACTTTGAAGGCTTCGAAGAGTTAGAGGAAGAGGCTGTTGTACATGAAATTGTGTCTCTGGGCAATTCCATGGGCCTGGAAGTGGATGATGATGATGTTAAGGAGTTGGTGGAAAAGCACAGTAAGGAGCTGTCCACTGAGGAGCTGCTTGAGCTTCACAAAGAAGAAAATGAGACACTGAAGCGGAGCTTAACTTCTGATGAATCAGGGGAGGATGAGGACAAGGAGGAAAGCTGCATCATTCCAGCCAAAGATCTCAAGGATGCAAACGTCTAAGCTTGCTGAGGATTATCATCCTGATGTTGGTTCTGTGCAAAAGGCCATCAGTGTGTTTAATGACAATGTGATGAACTACTTTTGGAAGGTCCAGAAATCAAGGTTGAAGCAGCCAACCATGGATTCCTTCTTTAAAAAAGTAGCAAAAGACCCTACAGACAAAGTGCCTGTAAGACAGTCACCAAAGAAGGCTAGGAAGGATGACTCCTCTCATTCCACCTCTTCTCCATAATTCTCTCCTCCCCCCTCCCCCTCCTGTCCTGCATGCTGAACAACACTAAGGTAAGATAAAGTACCGTATTTTTTACATTTTCCACAGAAAATTTTCAGTGTTAAGTGGTTCTATTTGGGGGCCTGGGACGGATTAATCCTATAACGAACGAATGCTATAACGAACGAGGTTCTAGAACCAATTAGATTCGTTAGAGCATACCCCACTGTACATACTCGTGGTAGGCTAACCTTAACAGTAAGTTCCTTTATCCTGTGCTTGCCTACCATATTATATATGCAGCTTTAGATCTTCAAATACCCAATACAAATGAAAATTTACTGATAACTTTGTTTTCATTTGCATCTGTTAAAATTGCTGGCGGTATTGTTGCCAAGTTAGACTCGTCACTGTAGCCATATCCTCTAGCCTTCTCACTACCAGACTGAGCTCTGAGGTGTTATGGTTGTTTTCAACTCATAATTTTAGGTAAACATACATAATTTTCTTAATTTTTTTTACTCAGTTGCATGCATACAGGTATCCCTCGTTTAATGATGGGGTTGTGTTCCTGAAAACCTAAGGTTAAGAGAAATTCTTGCAGGATAAGTGGGGATATGGCTTACTATAAGATACTGAACATATTTTTAGTAAAGCCTCAAAAATATCTAAGTTGTATTACCTTAATTCCTTGTGCGTTCTTGTACCACCTCTACCCAGTCTCCACCACCACTACTACCTCACCCTAAGTAAAAATTACCATCCGTACTACCATTACTATCATCACTCTGCATGACATACACCCGTGAGTTTGTTTACAAGAATGAAAGTTCAGTGAACCACACCTACTGTGTCAGAAACACTGAAAAGTAGCAATAAAACATTAATTCATTTACTGATAATAACTTGAGCATAAATGTTTATTATTTTTTCATAATAAAAAGGGATTATTATTTATATGGTAGATTTAAGAGGGTAAATGCTTTTTTTTTTACAGTGATTAGCCCAACCCGGGCACAGGTCACTGACCAATATCAGGGCCTGAGGGGCGAAAATATAATAATGATAATAATAATGATGATAATGATAATAATAATAATAATAATAATAATAACAACAACAACAACAATAATAATACACCTGTAATTAATAAAAATTTATAAAAATAAACTAAAAAAATTAATAAATACAAAATAATAATAACCATAAACACACAGATGATAAAAATAATCAAGAATAAGAAACGATGTACGTTATGTATGTCGAATTGTCAATAGTAACAACTGAGACCCTGCAATTGTATGTAAATGAGGCAGAAAGTCAGATCAGCACCCTGGGACTTGGTCACAATTTTTGTGATGCTATATAGCAGCTGCGTCTACCATTAAACAACACATTACGCTTCCAATATCTTCCCAGGCGGTAGTACAGTGGGGTATGCTATAACGAACGGATCCTACTACGAATATTCCTATAACGAACGGTTTTACCTATAAAATTGAGAATGCTATAACGAACGCAACTCCTACAACGAACGCGGATGAATACGGGACTATTTCGCCTGGCGCATGAATATTGTTGTACCGCGACCCACAACAAGAGCGTCAGACGCCATCTTTGTCTCATTGTGTAGCCAGTGCACCACTGTTATTGTTGAAATTTCGTCTTTTGATGTGGAAATTCGCGTTATTTGTAAAACTATTTTGTTATACAAGTATACAATTGTAACAATGAGTCGTCCAAAGCGAGTGAGAAAGCTAATAACCCTTGAAACTAAGAAAGAAATTATAAAGAAACGTGAGAATGGAAGAAGCATTGCGAAACTTAGTGATGAATATGGGATGGCTAAATCGACTATATGTACGATTTTGAAGAATAAAGAGGAGTTAAAAACTGTGCAAGTGGCTAAGGGAATCTTTAGACTTAGCAAAGCAAAGTGTAATGTGATTGAAGAGATGGAAAATTTACTCTTAGTGTGGATAAAGGAGAAAGAAATGGCAGGTGGTAACATTAGTGAAGCTATAATTTGTGAGAAGGCTAAACAATTGTTTGAGGACCTTCAAGCCAAGACTCCCAGTGGAAGTGATAGTGATGTGCCAGTGTTTAGGGGTACCTGCATGCTGAATAACACTAAGGTAAGATAAAGTACCGTATTTTTTACATTTTCCACAGAATTTTTTCAGTGTTAACTGGTTGTATTTGGGGGCCTGGAACGGATTAATCCTATAACGAACGAATGCTATAACGAACGAGGTTCTGGAACCAATTACGTTCGTTATAGCATACCCCACTGTATCTCCCTGTTTGATAGCTGCTTACTAAATATGTTCCCGCTGTTGAGGTCAAAGAAGCAAACACAGTTACTTTCATTCTAATATCCTAATTTAATGTAATTAGAACATAGAGGCATTAGAAAGAGTTGTTCACTTTCCAGTACATTGAACAATGCATTATCAAGATGCTATGAAATCTTTTTAAAGTTAAATATACTGTACCCTGTATGAAAAAGTAAAGTAAAGTAAAGTAAGTAAGTAAGTAAGTCAGTGTGTGTGTGTGTGTGGTGAAGACCCACTTTTTTTTTCCCTTTTTTTTTTTTCACAGGCATTAGCCCACCCACATTGAGGCCTGGGGGACATGCATCCTGGGAGTTGGTTATTTTTACTGTATTTCTCAACTCATATCTTCAGGTAGATATACGTAATCTTCTTCATTTATTTTACCCTATTACAGGCACACATGATCTTCACACCAAATGTGCAAAATAAATAAATAATCATAAGATCAAAAACATAAAAAATAATTAACACTTCTTACAACCACTGGTTGGAGTCACCCGGACTGTGAGGAGGAAGCAGTGGTGGAGATCTCAGCCAGTCGAGTCTCCCGTGCGTAATGACAACAGTTTTGCCACCTGGCTATGTGGTATATTTCTTTATTTTATTTGTTAATATAATTTTTATTTATACTGGTACTTAAGTATACACACGACCTTGGTCCCTAATAGCCTTGGATAATAAGGAGTACAATACAGTATATATAAAAAAATATGTAGTGAAAGTTGCCAGCTAGGAATGCATCCCCTCTATTCACAGTAATTCTTATAGGGTAAATTGGCCCGATATTAGCAATTACAGATAACTCTGCAGGATTATACTATTGTTTTATTGATTATGCACATTATAGAGGGATGAACCAGGGAGGATGAAGTCACAGAGAAAAACGCCACCATACAGGTAAAGGCATCAGTCACACTCCGTGACTTCACTTGAGGAAGCGGGTGCCGCCTCCATCCATTAAACCTCCTAGGCTTAGAGTATGGCCCTTTCATGGCAGATTTTGCATCAGTTGTGCAGACAGAACTAATGGTATGGGAGCAGCATCTCAAGTGTGTGGGAAGCAATATCTCTTCTGCAAAATCCACTTCAATGTGTGAATTGGAAAATATAAAATCATCTACAGCATTGTCCTGGTTAGCAGCCATAAAATTCTCTTCATGCTACTCATTTTTGGTGCATTCTTGTGATAGAGGGACACTAATTCCATATTCTTTGAAGACCTTCACAAGTTACTTCCATTGTCAGTGACAGTAGCAACAATCTTGCTCTCACTAATCGAAAACTCTCTCCAGATATCATCCAAATTCTCTGCTATTTTGTCGAAAGTGTGACTTCCACCAAAATCTGACACATGTTTGTATACAAAAATCAACACAATAGGCTCTAATTCCCGCTTACTTCATCCCAAACACTGAATAATGGTTAACAGCTTTGGAAAAATCCTTAAATGGCAAATGTAAGCTGACGGGAATCAGTCCTGTCCATGTTGTATTGTAGGAGATATAGATTGTAACCCCACCGAGAGACCACTACATATACAGTATATGAAAATTCTGGAGATTTGCCATTATTTTACTAAAAATTCTAAAAATCTGGTATACAGATGAAAAACCTGGAGAAATCCAGATTTTTCTGGGTATCTGGTAACACTAAGAATGGTGCAGCCGACAGGTGACAGCCGTCTGATAAGTGTTCAAATCGCCCATCGCCCTCACTAGCATATCACAGACTCCAGCTGTAGTTTATAGTAAGAGGATGTGACATAGAAACAGATATAATGAATAAAGTACTTATGTATTTTTACCATATAATATAAATGTAAATATTAGATCTTTCGACTATTATATTAAATATAATTATATTTATGAAAAAATACAAATAAAAAATAATGATGGACTATCCAATCTTTTGCAATTCATAAATCTATTAACTTTAATTTCCATTCATTTTCATTAATGTATTGATATATCTTTTTTTTATACATTTCAAGAGAACGGCCCTTGCGATACCGATACAGCAATACCTTCATCGAGTATCTAAAGCGATACAGTACTACCAATACAAAAGTATCGATCAATATGTATCACCAATACATGTATCGCGATACTGCCCAGCTCTGACCAGGGTATGCCTGTACGAACCTTTGCAAACTGGGAACTGCCTGTACATCTATTTAATAAATGTAATATAAATTTGATATTTATTGCATATATGAGTAACCCGTTCTCAGGCGAGTCCATTAAAAATTTGATTTTTTCTTTGGGTATGAAATATTTCAATATTTTTTTTTCATGGATTTTCTCTGGTTTGTTTTTATGGAATTCAGCATTAAAATCTTCCCCAGTGACAGGAGGCTGTACAAATTGATAAAACAAGGCCTTGGGCATTAAACACAAAGGAAATTTAAAAATAAACTAACACCAAATAAAGATTGGAACATGGAATGTGAGGAAATTATATGAGGCTAGTATATATACAAATGTTTGTGGAGGAAATGACAAAATTGCAGTGGGACATTCTGGGAGTAAGTGAAGTAAGATGGTAAGATGAGGGATACTTTTCCAGCTTTGAGTCGTCTCGTTTGCCAGAAATCTCCCATTCCTAATATCCCAAAATAAAAATTATGGTAGGCAACAGGAAACTTAATAAGCACAAAATTTTTTGCATTTGGAAAGCAACAATAGCTGTGATGGTAGATGTACAGAAGAAATCAAACGAAGAGTAGGGCAAGCAAAAACAGCATTTAATAATCTAAAAGACCATGAAAAGGGACATTAACTTCAATTTGAGAAAAGGGTTGCCGTGAGGCTTTATATGGCAAGGACTATTGTATGAGTCAGATACGTGGACACTTTTAGCAGACACCAGAAGGAGGTTGGAGGCCTTTGAAATGTGGTGTTATAGCCAAATGCGAAGAATAAGCATACACTAACAGGAAAACAAATGAAGAAGTACTGAGATTAGCAACAATTTCAAGAGAAATACTTGAAATGTACAGAAAAAGAAAAATTTAAAAAAATATATATTTGAACTTTGGGGATGAGGGAATAACACAGACATTAATGGGCAAAGTTGAGGGTAGTAGGGCCAGGGGAAGGTAGAGAGTAAGATGAATGAATTAAATTAAAAACTGGGTCCCCAGAGAGATACAAAACCTTAGAGGATTGGTAAAAACAGCCCGAGAACATTTAGATTGGAGGCCTGTGGTCACCACTTCTCAGATATGAGGACAATACTCTGATTGCTTGACTGATGGAGCTTCTGTTTTTGGCATTTATAAGAGTTTGTAATCCTGCTCTTAATGAAATTGAAATAGACAATTTGCTAAACAAAGTCCAAGCTAAAAAGAGAGAGAATCCTTACCTTCGTCCACAAAGTCCCATTATTTGCTGCTTGAGTAAGCTTTCCTTTAAGGCATATCTCAACTTGGTCTTTGTCCAATTCTGTGACACAGCGAGCAAAACACCGCCCAACATATGCTCTGTGAAGGCACCATAACATTGAATAAATAATTTGAATGAAGAGGATTTTCCATTTCACATCTGTATTTCATAGCAAAATACTAATAGAAAACATTAGCAAGTGTGTGAGGTATAACACCGAAAAAAATTATGCATTTGGGACATACTTACTTCAAACTTTCAGGCCAGTCACCATTAGCAACCAATCCAGTCATTCCTTTCATATCCTTGACCACTTTTGTGTCCTGTGTCTTGTTCATCACAACTTGGTTTTCAGTAATCCCTGGAGCTTTATTTACAGATGGTTGAGCATCAGAATTTTCTTTTTCACTTGAATTTAATGGATGATGATGCTGTTGCTGCTGTTGGTTATTCATAAATTGTATTTTGTTCCATGGGTTGTTGGACATGATCACATTATTTTTATTCTTATTCTTTTTCTTATTCTTATTATGGCTAGAAGTGTGTTGCTGATAATGCTGTTGCTGTTGCTGCTGATGTTGCTGCTGCTGTTGTTGTTGTAGTTGTAGTTGTTGTTGTTGTTCTTGTTGTTCTTGTTGTTGCTGCTGATGTGGCTGCTGCTGTTGATGTGGCTGTTGCTGCTGTTCTTGTTGATGCTGCTGTTCTTGTTGATGCTGCAGCTGTTGTTGTTGGTGCTGCTGTGGATGGGGAGGCTGTTGCTGCTGCTGCTGGGAGGCCTGCTGTTGCTGTAAGGCATTATATCCAAGTCCTTTCTTGCTGGGAAGGTTAAATTTGACAGGGCCACCTGAACCAGTTTGTGAATTTCCTCGACCCATGGATGCTTGATTATAGTTTGGTGGTAGCCCTCTGGGTGGAGGGCCCGATGGACCATACCATCCTCCACTGTAGCCACCATAATTATCATATCCCTGGGTATAAGGCTGATTATAGCCATGATTATAACCTTGATTGTATTCCTGATTATTATAACGTTGTGGCGGTAGGACACTGGTGTTTGGTTGGCTGCTGGCATCTTGGTGTTTCCCAGGTGTATTATTTGGTGAAGTATTTAAATTATTAACTTTGTTCTGGCCATCACTTTCAGAATTTTGCCCACCTGGTGGAGGACCAGGAGGTAGAGGAGGGGTGTTATCATTCCCAGAATTATTATTGTTCTTGTTATTATTAACATTACTATTGGAGGTGTTATCAGATTGAGGCAGAGGGAGTGGGCCTGACATTCCAGGTGGCACACTATAACCCCAAGGTGTTTGCTGTTTAGGGATAAAAAAAACTGTAAGCAATAATCATAAAACAAATATTAAGGAAATATGATCTGCATTTAACATTCTCAAACATTCAAGAAATTTTTACTTAATTTCCTAAACCAACACTTGGTGAAACCATTAAAATATCATGCAACAGAATTCCAACCTTAGCTTACAGTATATGCTCCCCTACCTATCATCTTTCAGCACTAGACACACTAGCTTAACTCTTCCTAAAACCCTTTTATTATTTCTGATAGCTCTGCACATCCTGACACAATAACCCTGCATATCCCATCATAATAATATGGCTGATTCTGACATGACAATCCTGCATATCTTGTCAAGGTATCCCTGCAGCTCTTGTCATAACTTTGCAGTCTGACAATGTCATTGTGATCATTTATTTGAATATAACCTATCACAAAAATGCACAGTACAGTATACCAGTATGCAGGGTTCCCACAGAAATTAAAATTTTGTGTTCCATAACTTTAGTACTAAGTCCACTTACTGATCTTCAATGACCAAATTGTTTAATGGTTTACATAATAACTTGCTTCATGATTAAAACCATGCAGCAAATAATGTCTCTAAACAAAACAAACATGTCCAATTAAATTTTTACAGTTGTTTTATGGATAACTGAGAAGATAGCCGCCTCCTCCTCTCTTTACATCATCCAACCCACCCACTTCAAAAGAGCATTTAGTATACAGGTAGCTATTTGTTGGTTAGTTTAACAAGATACAATATATACAGGGCTTTTTTTCACAAGGCTTGGTGGGGAATGTTCCCCCTAAACTGAGAGTTTCCTCTCTCCAAACAAAATTGTCGGTGAAATCCCATTTTTTTATTAAATATAAACTTTAATTGGTATATGGAACATGTTCATTTTGATGTCATTATACACATTGGTATACCAACAATGCCTCTGGACCCCACTAGGGGTATGAGCCAACCACTCAGCCTCCAACATATCTTCCTTCCCCCAAAAAGCAAATGCTGAATAAAAAATCCTCATACAATAAGATATTTTCAAACTTCAGCCTTCAACAGAAAACTGATGTTACCTAGCAAGCCTCATAGAATCACATAGGCAATAACATTTGAATATCTGTGAAACTAAATCAACAAACAATTCCTTGACAAAGTTCTATCGCCACAGTTTATAAAAAGCATAAAAAAATACCATATTAACACTGTATAAAAGAAATTACAGTAATGGCAAAGTTTATGTTCAATAATAAATAGACTTCTGTTATAGCCATGACATTTTCATGACTTGTCTAAGTGGTGCATTTGTCAAATTTTTCAAGAAATTTAAATAACTTTCCATGACAACTTTTATATTTCCATAAATCTTCCAAGAATTTTAAAGCCTCCAATAACGACGGTTCTACTAACGATGATTCATATTTAAAACCCTGGTTAATTTAGGACCCAATTCAATTTACACTGTTATTTTATTAATATTTATGACGAAAATAGAATAAAAAGTAAAATAAAATTCCATTTTCATAGAAATAATAACTAAATCCCAATACAGTATATATATATATATATAATATATATATATATATATATATATATATATATATATATATATATATATATATATATATATATATATATATATATATATATATATATATATATATATATATATATATATATATCTTGATAAAATCACTTTGAGCACTCAACCTATACAGGGTATGGCATGGGTTCCATCCTATGTAAGGCAACAATGGTAGCTATGAGTAACTTTAGCTACTAGCTACAACAGTACAGTCGACCCTCGTTAAAACGGACTAATAGGGGGGAAGGGTGTCCGTTTTAGCCCATTGTCCAAATTAACCGATTTAGGGGTTAATATTGCATTATACAGCTATGTGTATGTTTATTTGAGTGCCCCGTCATAGGAGTCCGTTTTCTCTCACTTCAGCACTCCTGAGTCGTCCGTTTTCTCTTAATCTTAGAGTGCACCAGAGACTGTTATATCTTAGTAGTGACACAGAATTTGAAATTGCAACCCCAATTGCAACTGGGACAATCCCAGAACCAGAAATTTGATATGGACAGTTCAGATTTCGTCCGATTTATCCGAAATCCGGATTAAAGGGGTCCGAATTAACGAGGGTCGACTGTACTGAGTTAAACTATCCATTCTCCCTGATAATTGCCACCCCATTAATTAAATAGAAATGCCATTGAGTAGGCTAACTTTTCAGGGGATGTTATACAATAGTGCTTAAAAACTCCTGTCTACAAGAGAAACCCATTGGATAAATACAGTGGCAGATTATTCAGATTCAGCAAAACCTTATGTTTGGTTCTCCTCAAAATAATAAGAAAATGTAAACATTCAGACTGAAGAAGCTAAGGTATATCCTTTTAATCATTAAATCCTTTAAATATGGTACAGTATGGTATGGTATCGGACAATAAAGCTTTGTCACTGGATATATGACTCCTGTTTTAAAAAGGATTAGATTTTGTTAATCCACAAGTAGTTCCTGCTGTTAGGCAAGTTAAAGCCTTTTGGCAAAGGTTTTTACTGCCAAAGAATGATTTAGCTGTGTGGATCTTGCATGTAACTCATTTATGACCCAAAGGCCTTGAACAAAAAGGTCATCCCATTTGCTCTTATTCTCTCTCAAAAACATATGCAGTATGAAAATTACAAACACAACAATGGTATAGAATTTATGCCCCTTTCCCATGATCTTAACAGCAAAACCCACGAACAAAAAATCTTCCTTCAGCACAACACCTACTTTTGCAACAATTCCACAAATAGAGTATACTCACATATCCAGCATATCCTCCATAGCCACCACCACCTCCAGCAGGACCATAACTATTCCAACCCGGCGGTGGTGGTCCAGGTGGGCCAGTATATGACCCTCCGTAGCCTCCATAAGGTCCTTGGGGCCCATTATACCAGCCTCCTCCTCCCTGTCCTTGTCCATTGGCCCCATGCCACGGGGCCATCCCATGTGGACTGTTATTCATGCCAAAGCCAGTGAAGTACACACTATAAAGATACACAAAATACTGTAGTTGTAACAAAATTTTGTGGGACCTTTGTAAAAGCTGAGCATAGTTACTGTACAGTTCAGGCTGTACTTAAAAAAATCCCCCAAAATTGAGTTGCCTACACTTCCAAATCTTTAATTATAAGTACATTTGTGGATAAAAAGAATTTGACAGGGATGGAGGGAGGTAGTGTATGGCAGAGTAGGGGTTGGTGGAGACTTAGCAATGACACATAGAGGTAGCGATTAAAATTCTGCAATTTTCTTTCCACACCACAAATTGACTTTTTTAGTTTAATTATGAGGCAGGTGCAGCTTACAGTTCCTTCCATGTGAATTCTCTTTGTCCACTACTATACATAAATAACTATACAGTCCTGTAATCTCCCAGAACTTTCCATTACCCAGAAAAAATTTTGGGGGCATTCCCAGCAATTTTTGAAAAATCCCTCTATTCCGAGCATTCGAACAAATTTCCACGAGATCGCATCATGCACCAACACGTGCTGAATACATGGGTGGGTAGGGAAGGGTAGGCTCGGAGAGTGCTTGTGGACTAAGATATTGTCATGTGACTATGATTGGCTAATGTATCTTGTGGCCTATCTCTTCAAACTCTAATATCATGACACTCTTAGTTCATTGTCTGCTGTCATTGTACAGTAGAACGTCATATAACAGGAGATATATCACGTTCCAAGAGGTCGCTTTAAACCGAATTCACACTAAATAAAGTGTTGTTTCAATGGAATAATTTAGTTTGGTACTTGAGAAAAACACAAAATACTAAAAAGATTGACAGTCTACCCAGATGCACCTCACCCTATCTCCTAGAATAAACAAAACATTGTTTTTTTGTAGTATTATGTTAAAACAAACACTCATAAATCAACACAGCTAAAATTATGGGATGAGGTTACTGCTTACTGGCTGGGAAGATGGGGAAGGTGGGAGGTGAGATGATATGTTTGACAGTTGATGCCAAAGTCTAGTGCTTATTCATTTATCTGTACCTAAGAGTGAGTAAGTTTTTCTCTTATAAAATATCACTGAACTGACATGGGAGAATATAATTAACATTGCTGGAATTCTTATAAGATAGTGATTAATTTGAATATAAACATGCTACAGCTTGCATTAGACATACAAATTTTAGTTGTAATTTAAGAATTTTATTACAGAGCAAAAATTTTTATATCTTATGCAATATATATGACGTTTACTGTATATTCAAATTATTCGCTGTCTTGCAAGGATTCCAGCAATACAAATTATATTCTCCTACCTTTAGTCTGTGACATTAAATAAGATAAAAAAAATTAAGCCTAAAACACCAAACTCTGGCTGGGAAAAGGGGAGGGGAAGGGAGGGACAGTGACATGTTTGACAGCTGGTGCCGAAGGTCTAGTGAAGTATTTATTTGTTTATTCATGTCCTTAAGCTTGAGTTTATGTTTTTTGTTTATAAAATGACATAGAAGTGACCGGGGAGAATATAATTTACATTGCTGGAATTCTTTTAAGATAGTGATTAACTTGAATATAAACATGATATAGTTTGCACTAGAAAAATTTTTTAGTAATCATTTACAGTGATCCCTCGGTTAACGAGCGCCTCAGTTAACGAATTACCTTCCATAAGATTCTTCACTTCGGTTAACGAGCAAACCCTCGATTAACATATTCCTTACGAATTTTTCCCAACATGTTTTCGCTTGCACTTGGCGGTCAACCAGCTGTAGTATTAGTCTGCCAATACAGTAATCGGCTCTAGGGCTTAAATTCCTTACTATTTTAGTAAATATCAAGAAGTTTATACTATTCAATAATTTTAAAAGTTTAATATTAAATTTTTTAGGAATTTTAACAATTATTGAACATAATTGAAGGTTAAGTCACTAGTTTGTGGTGCGCCATCCAGCCTTTTAACACACCAAACAAGCGTTAGTCTCTCTCTGTTTTCAGTGGAGGTAACATCTTGCTTAAGACTCTCTTCAACTAAACGCCTTTTTCTGTGTTTCCAAGCAAATTATTAGTCATTTTGAAATTTATTTTACATATTGACAATATATAGTGCAGTGCAGTGTTATTTTAAAGAAAATATTCTTTATTTACAGCTAGTTTAAACTTAAAAAATCACGTGTTGACATTGTTTGAATCCAGCATGGGACCTAAGAGATCAAGAAAAGCGATTTCAATCCAAACCAAGCAGGAAATTATAAAAAACATGAAGAAGGCATTAGAACAAATGTGCTATGCAAAGAATATGGCATGTCGACTGTAGGTTATGCATCTAAGCTACTGTGCCGAGTAGCAACCTTGTAAATAAGCTACTGTGCCGAGTAGCATTTATATATATAATTACGTGGCAACACTGCATGTGTTATGTGGCAACATTGCCCTGAGGCTGCCATATGGCAAGGCAGCCTCAGTCTGACTGTGTGAGCCGTGCATGGCACACGCTAGTCACCACTTGTATTTCTCTCATCCATAATAAACGGACTTCAGTGTTACCCGGTGTTTCCCTACCCATCACTACATCTTCAGGGAACACATGTAACCATCATGGCGCAGTGACTAGGATCTGTGGACTTACAAAGTGTGTGAACTATGCCGACGGTTACATCAGCCGGCGATGTGCGCGTCGACTAGTGTGTTGTGTTGTGTTTCGCCGCAACGTGCAGTGTTGGGCCGTCACAGTGCTTTTTAGTGACGGTGGCAGTGTTAGTGTCAGTGTATTAGTGTGTCTAGAGCTGAGAGTTGAGCATTGGCCTGTTTTTTGTGGTACCCACGGAGCACGCAGGCGTACACCCTTCTCGTGTGACATCCCGGGAGACACTGACGCTCTCACCCCCCCGCCGCGTCTCTAGACACCGGCATTAAGGCCACCACGAAGTGCATCTGCTGTCTCAGACACACACACACACACACGCAAGCACTCACTCACGGACAGAACAGTGGACTCTGCGTTATTTCTGCGCTGTTTATGTCATATATATGTGGTTCGAGCTGTTGAGGCGCCACTTTATATACTAAACAGTGCAGTCCACGCACACACAAAGATGGGCGGTAAGAAGGGACAACGTCAAGATGGGAGACACGACTCCCCACCACCTTCCCCTCCACCGGGCGAGGACTCACATCCTCCACCTCCAGTGACGGACATTGCCACAATTCTGAGGTGGATGGACAACCGGGACGAGAGACGCAGAGAGATGGAACTTCAGAGGGAGGAGACACGAAGAGAGGAGGAAAAGTTGCGTTTTGAGGCACTATTGGCGACCCTGGCGCTAACCCACCCTCCCTCACTCGCAGGTAGCGCGCATGGAGGTGCCAATATCCTCTCTCCTCCACCACACCAGCGTCCTCCAGGTACTCTTGCCTCCAAACAAACAGCTCCCAAGGCATCTGTTCAACCCCCACCCGCCCACTCACGCAGGGTGCGTGAGTCGACGAGCGACGCGCCTGGCGCTGCCACACAGAGCTGCCCAGAACCCGCGTCCACTCCCACCCACACAGGACGCTCCCCTGCCCAGATCCTGTATGGTCACCCTCTCCGCTCTTGCGTTCCTGCACACGCCAAGGCATTTGCGAAGGAGTGGCAGACCAGAGCCGAGAGCTGCGACCGCCGCACCGCTACACGTGCCCAGGACGCCAAGGCTCGGTATGACGACCGTGTCCGCCCTCTTCAGCCATTGGAGATTGGTGCCCTTGTCCGCGTCCAGGACCCGACGACGACACGCTGGGACAAGGTGGGCATAGTGATGGGCGTCGGCCGGTCGCGGGACTACAAGGTCAGGATGCCGAGCGGCCGTGTCTGGCGGAGGAACCGCCGCTTCCTCCGGCCAGTCCCACCCCCTGCTGCTGGCCCCCTGACCGAGGACGAGTCACCTACACCTCACGAGGATCCGCCCCACAGTGCACCTCGACGCTCGGAGCGACTTAGGACTAAGAAGTCCGCTCAAGACAAAGACTATGAGCGTGAGGGGGGAGGGAGATGTAGGTTATGCATCTAAGCTACTGTGCCGAGTAGCAACCTTGTAAATAAGCTACTGTGCCGAGTAGCATTTATATATATAATTACGTGGCAACACTGCACGTGTTATGTGGCAACATTGCCCCGAGGCTGCCATATGGCAAGGCAGCCTTAGTCTGACTGTGAGCCGTGCATGGCACACGCTAGTCACCACTTGTATTTCTCTCATCCATAATAAACGGACTTCAGTGTTACCCGGTGTTTCCCTACCCATCACTGCATTCTTCAGGGAACACATGTAACCATCATCGACATCAACTGTGTCGACAATTCTTGCACAGAAAGACAAATTTAAAGAAGTGAAAATGAGGGACAAATCTACCAGTGTTTAAAAGTAGATCCCTAATTGCAGAAACTGAGAGGTTACTTCTCATCTGGATTAGGGAAAAACAGATGTAAGGTGATTCAGTTCCTAATGAATTCATTTGTGAAAGAGCCAGGGAGATTTACGAACATTTAAAGACAGATCAACCTGGTTCTTCAGGCACAGAATTTGAAGATTTTCAGGCCAGCAAAGGCTGGTTCGAAAAATTTAAGAAAAGAAGTGACATTTTCAGTGTTGTTAGGCATGGTGAAGCTGCTAGTGCTGATAAGGAAGGGGCAGCAAAGTTTTTAGTGGAATTTAAAGAACTGATGGAAGAAAATTATCTTCCACAGCAAGTGTTCAATGTGGACGAAACTGGGCTGTTCTTGAAGAAAATGCCCGAAAGAACATTCATCACCAGAGATGAAGCCTCTTTACCTGGGCATAAACCCACGAAAGACCGTCTCACTCTATTGCTTGGTGCCAATGCTTCAGGGGATTTCCGACTGAAGCCTATGCTTGTCTACCACTCTGCAAACCCCAGGGTCTTCAAGCAACAGAAAGTGGTAAGAGCAAAGCTTGGAGTTTATTGGAGGTCCAACCGTAAGGCATGGGTGACAAGACAGCTCTTTCATGAATGGGCTGTTGAGGTGTTTTGCC